GGGGGGGGGGGGGGGGGGGGGGGGGGCTCCACATTCTGCAGCAAACCCAGAAGTGGAACAGAAATACTTCTGGTCCACTTCCAGGTCCACTGGGGAGCACACAGGGGAATGCCCTTGCAGCCCCCTGGCTTGGTGATGGGCTGTCGGGGGAGACCCCAGGTGCACCACCCAGACCCAGGAGGCACCAGTTGCTGAGCTGGGAAGGGCACCAGGGGGCCTCCCAGCACACTCCCTGGCAAACCCAGAAGTGGACCACAAGTGCTTCTGGGCCACTTCTGGGTCTGCTGCTGAGCATGCTGGGGAGCTCCGCACACTTCTATGGGATGCTCCATGAGTCCCAGCACCACAGCATGCGCTAGCCCCTGCTACCTTGAGGTATGTTGAAAAAATATTTAAAGCTGTGTCTCTGTCCGAATCGATTCGGAGAGTTCCTATTTGATTTGGAGAGATTCAGGGGTCCTCTGATTTGGTTCGGATTCAGAGATTCAGCCACTGAATTGGGCTGAATCGAATCAGGGACTGAAGCTTCACACAGCCCTATTACACACCTAGGATCATACCGTGGGTGCTCAAATTTGCATTTATCAAAACTGTTGGTAAATTTTGTATTTACTATAGAATATTTACTTACAGAAATCATTCTTGGATAACCAGCTAGCTCCTAGATTTACATATGCAAATACTATTGGCATGCATAACTGAATTTAGAACGTTTAAAATGAGTCTAATTGCAGATGCTGTTATTTAATGCTTGGTTCTTAATGTCCATAAACAGTAGACGGGGATTTGCTTTTCAGACATTTCCTGGATAACCTCCACAGAGTAACGCCTGGATCTCTATTTGCTTCTCACAAAATAAAGGACCGGGTCATTCCTGCTGCAGTCTGAACCCATTGTTCAGAAAAATCTAGGTATTCTAAACTAGATGCTTACACCAGTAGGTCACCTCCTCTACTAAGGCCACCACCAAGAGACAAACCACAGCACTCATCGTGTGGTAGCAGTAGAAGTATTAACACTGTGGAATGGGGGGAGGGGAGGGAGGAGAAGCAATAGCCTTTGTATAGTGCTTTAAATGATGTACATTTTCAATGAGGAAGGGTTGTAGTGTTAATACACTATTAATACTTTTCCAAACATTGTCTCTTTTCCTAACAAATGTATTTTAATCGAATGGAATGCAGACTAATGTGGATTTAGAAAGAGGGTGAGAGTGCAGCAAATTATAAATACCTTCTACTTTATCAGCATTACACAGTACTATTAATTTTAAAAATAGCTTTCTAAAAACATGCATGGCATACCGTAATAGAGATGGCTGCATTTCAATACATCATCCCGATGACTCCCTCCACAGTAATGAGTCATGCAGACATGCTGAGCTCTGTAGAGCAGATACAGTATGTTCCATGTCACAACTGAGAAAAGGAAGCATTCTTGTCTTTTGATTCAGGATTATGCTCCATCAGGACTTCCGGACATGAGTGATTATTGATTGTATCTGAGTGTACGTCAAAGTCCAGGAAGTTGCCACCTAAGTGATATCATCCCAGGAAGGACCATCTCTGAAAAAATGTCCAGCATCCATTGTACTCAAGGAGGGTTAGAAGGATCAGACCATTAATATACATTTTCAAGTAAGGAAAGAGAAGGGTGTTGAAGGGAAACATAGGTAATTTTAACAGAGCAACCCATTTTAAATACTGCGTCTGTAAATGTTCATAGAATTAATTGGCATGAGTGTCCTTAGAATAGTGCATTATTCCTGTCCAAGTGATGAAGGGGGTAGTTGCCATAGCAAGCACTGTTTTTATTGACTGCTTACAGGAAATAGTCACATAAAACTGTACACCAGGCCAGAAAATGAGTTAGAAAAATCCCTAGGCAGCTGTAAGTTACACATTTTTTCCTCTAGCCTGCTTAGTTTTCTAGCCCTCATAAAACAGCAATTACAAATATAATGCATCTCAATGACCCATTATGGCAATGCTCAGAGGCAAGGGGAAATGCTCCCCCTTTCTATTTACTACAGATATTCTTTTTTTTCAGAGAAGTCCTGAGATCCCCATGCATCCTGCTTCATCTCTAATTCTCACTGAACTCAGTGGGAGCTTTCCCCACAGAACTTCGAATATGAAGAAACACCTCAGGATGTAGTTCAATGAGAATAAGCAAGCTGACTGTTTTAGGACATCGAGATGAAACTTTATCTTGTCGACAGAGTACTAAACAAGGGACCAGGAGACCTAAATATTCTTCCCAGATCTCCCACTGACCATGCCACTGCTATGGACAAGTCGCTTCGCCTTTTCTGCGTCTCAGGTCCTCCATCTGTAAAATACTAAGATCTTTGGCAACAAAAAGCATGATGTAAAAATGTGCATGTTATCGCTATCATAAAATGGTGCAAAACTGCATAGGGTTAATTTGCAGAGGCTCATACAAACATTTATTTCAATTTTAGATAGACTAAGTCTCCACTGCCTGCCCTGCAATTGCAAAGTTATTATGAAAGAGGGAGGGGGGAGGCCCCACGGAC